ACCAGGCTGGTTTCAGAGGTGGTAAATCAACAACTCATCAGATTGCAATCCTGAAACAAATTTTAGCATAGGCAAATTCTTGCCTATGCTGATGATATCAATATTGTTGGGAGAACGAAAAATGCTGCTGCAAGGATGGGTTTAATAATAAACACCAACAAAACGAAGTATATTAAAATAAGCCTGCAACCACAAATCTTACGACCACTTGTTATAGAAAACGACGTCATCAAAGCAGTGAACGAATTTGTATACCTGGGAGTGCTCCTGAACACTGAAAATAATATTACCGCAAAGATAAACGGCAGAATTTGCACGGCCAACAAATGCTATTTTGGGGTCAATCTCCTCCTTAAATCCATGATTATATTGAGAAATAGAAAAATAATACTCTACAAAACAATAATGTTCCCAGTCCTAACATATGGTTCAGAGACCTGGACTCTAACAAAAAGTAATGAAAACATGTTAGGATATTTCGAAAGAAAAGTACTAAGGCGAATCTATGGAACAGTAAATAACAATGGAGTGTGAAGAAGACGATCCAACTTCGAACTTTATAGAATATATGAGGAACCAGATATCGTAAAACATATTAAGATATGACGTCGGAGGTAGACAGGGAATGTAATGCGGATGGAACAAAATGACGTAGCTTCTTGAGAGACCTAATTGATAAGAGAAAAAGAGGAAGACCTAGAACAAGGTTCCTTGATAACATCGATGAAGACATGAGAAATGTGGGAATACGTGCTTGGTGGAGGAAGACGATTGATAGCGACGACTGGAGAGAAATTCTTGAGCTGGCTAGGACCCACGCAGGGTTGTAAAGCCAGAATGATGATGATGCGACGATGATGGAAACATAACGATGAAAATAGCACTGAAAGAGGACAATGAATCAAACATAAAAAAAGAGAAAAAAAAACAAGAAGAAAAATAGTGTAAAACTAGGAACATGGTTTGTTCAAATATTATTGAGACAATGGGAAAGGTGGCAAGAGAAATGCAAAGATACAAAATCGACTGAGTTAGAATAAGATGGAAGGGAGAAGGAAATATTAAAAAGCAAAATTTACAATGATATAAACATGTATGGGCAACTATAAAATAACAAACAAAGTTATAGGTTTCAAAGCTATAAATGGGCCTCATATAAAAATAAAAAACAAACAAACCAATATGACAATTATTATAAACATCTATGCACCCACACAAAATGCACCAAAAAACGATAAAATTGAATTACGTGAACAACTGGAAAAATTATATCAAAGATTACCCACAAATGATATAGTATTAATGTATTAATGACGAATGTAGTAACTTCAATGCAAAAGTAGGTAAAGAAAACCAAAATGAGGAGGTAGCAGGGAAAGAAACTATTTATGACAAAAAAATCGATAGTGGAAGAAAATTATGCCACCCAGCAGCAATAATAAACAGATAGGTACATCATAAGAACAACCTTTAAGAACAGAAGAGAAAATTAAGTGACATGGATGATATCTAGCACAACAGATCAGATATATCACATACTACCTAATATCAATAAAAATGGAAAACAATAATGCATAACGTCAGATCATATAGCGGAGCAAACGCCGCCAAGGACCATTTTCTAGTAATAGGGATAATAGTAGTAGGGAATAATCCAGGCGGGATCTGTTTTGAACTGGACATTTTCTGACTTTTATTTCTTCTTCAGAATCAGGATTTAGATAAACTGTAGTGCGTCCATATTATGGATAGTACCAAAGTAACACTTATTAATATAAAATAATACAAAAATACAACTGTCTACAGAATAACAACACACAAATTACGGTAAGAAGCAAATTATTGACAAACTTTACACTTACATCCGTCAAAACCAACTACCTACCTATAATAATACGTAAAATGTTTAGGGATATCGCAAAACGTATCCTACGATAAGGTAATGCGCGTTTAGGCAATTCTTAGCGTGTAGTGAAATCGTGATGATTCTTAGTGTATAGTGAAATGAAAAAATAAGATTAATTAAAAATACATAATCAATGACGAGCAACAATAATTTCGACAAAATAGATCAAATATAGATGTTATATTCATAGCCAGACAAATTATAGTGAATATAACAGAAGTTGCCTACAGGTGCTTTGTAGATCTGGCTAAGGTCTTTGCCTACGTTAAATTAGATAGGTATGTTACAATTACTAAAAAAACGGTATAACAGTGTACTTATATGGCAAAGATAATTAAAGGCATTTACACTAACAACAATAAAAGGATGCAAGCTGAGCAGAAAACAAATAAAATTCTTTATTATGCAGACGTCGCAATACTGGCATCAGATAACGAAGATAATATACAGCGGATGGTACAAACGTTCAAAACAGCGGCTGAGATATACAATATGAAAATATCTACATCTAATACGAAATTTTTTAGTGTAGGAAAAGAATCCAAATGATGCAAAATAGTAATTAATGACAAAATAATCCAAGAAATCTCGAGATTTGAGTATCTGGGAGTAGAAATATCCAGTTATCAAAACTTTAAAGACAGTGTAAGAAAACAATCAAGTAAAGTAGGCTGTATATCAGGATGTCATCTGGAAGAAAAGGAATTACAAGGGAAAGATTAAATCATTTTGTTGTGCGCAGTAATATAAACCCAAACAAACAACAAAGTAAATCATATGTAGGGCTAATAATGATTGCAATAAAAATTAGAGCAGATACAGCAGAAACAAAAAGAATACTTTCAACGACAGAAATCATAGCCTTGAGATCAATTGCTGAGAAAATATTAAGAATATCAAATATTCAAATAAGAGATTTGTGAAAAATATAAGATATTATAAGATGGGGAAGACAGAGTAGACGGAAATAAAACCAACATAATTCACGAATGGATACTGAGAGACTAGCTCGATTATCAAGAGGTACTGGCTTAGGTACCAAGCCAGATCGCCCGGGTTCTATCCCGGTAGACACCAGACATTTTTCAATTTCTATTTTACCTGAGCTCCCACCGTCATTCGGAGGACACCTAAAGCCGTTAGTGCCGGCTAGGTAAGTACTCGTTAACCCTAAAGCCTAACTCAGAAGATCACACCAATGAAATATGTACAATAAGCCAATTGGCTGCAGTAATACTGGTTATAACAATAACAAGCTTCCTAAAACAAATAGGCATCAGACTATCAGGAAGACACTTTAAAGGATAGCGAGATACATAGCAGTCAAATTCACAACAGGACTTCTGGTATATGCCACAGATTCAGATTCTACATCCATTTACTGACCATACTCAATGAACACAATTTAGAATTGCAAAAATCTAAAATGCAACAACTGTGAAGCATACTGCTACTAACATATTCATGAATCGCAGTTTTTTTCTTAAATATGAATAATTAGTACTGTAAGTTAGACACTGAACGCATGGGAGGCCTTTACTACTTAGATTTAATTTATGCCAAAAATTTTTGCAGTCCAAAACTACCGAAATTGTTCGAGACAAACAAAAAATACTACGCGTTTTCCGCTGACCGGTATTTTAAAGAGATTAGCAAACTAGACAGAAAATACAATCTAAAATATGTTAAAGTTCTTGTTGATAACTAAATATTGACATATGATCCATTCACAAGGCACTAAGGCTCTAATGTACATACTTAAAATTTTGTAAGGACGGGACAGTAAGATCTGATACCGACTGTCTTATACTAAAAAGGGTAAAACCATATAGCAGCAATTTGTTGTATAAAACCTGAAATTTGAACACAGTTCAGTTTTATTTTTAGCCAAATTACAAGACAAAATAATAAAGTTTATCGAAAAAAAGTTTGAATATATATTTTGGACACCCACCGGTGTGAATAAATAAACAAAAAACTAAACTGATGCTTTTAATTCAAGCTTGTGTATTACAATTCAACTTAAAACAAAAAAATCTCTAAAAAATATAAATATTTCTATTTAGCAAATTAGTACAGACCTGGTATTCTTGTCAATGCACTTTCTGCACCAAATCAAATGAAACACGCAGCCCTACACATATATTCTAATGGTATAAATTATAATACACCTCTATAACAACAAAAGGTCTATGGGTGTCAGAAACCCCTTCTATTATTAAAAGTTAATATTTTGATGACACCTGTGTAATGACTTGCTTAGCCCGCCGCACTATTCCACCCTTGACTCCGAGAAACAAAAGACCATTGAACTGAAACCGACAGACTTCCAAGGTTCTTTTAGAATTCGTGCACCGATAAAACGAGAACCTGCAGAACTACAATAAGTCTATAAATAACAATATATTTCACTCACCCTGTGTTGTGAATTCTTCTTTTCCACTAAAATCGCACTTTCACTAACAACAACTACACCCCTCCTCGCTAAAGATGAGACTGAAAATTTTCTTTACAGAAATTTGATACTGAAATGAACTATTAATAAATACACGCATGCGCAATGCAACAGCACATATTGCTCTTTTTCTAAATTCCTCAATGCGAGAATGCCCGAAAGGCCATTTAACTTTTAATATATATTTCGAGAAAATATTTATTCGTTAGAAGATTAATCTTTGTCCATGATATGGCCCATTTGCTTACATATTCTAAAATTGTTCCTATGAGAACCATTTAAACATAAACATATTTAATTTATATTGTCACTTCATATACAACTTTTTTTTAATTAAGAATTAAGAATATGGATTCTTAAGATTCTATCCATTTTTTGTTTATTTATTAATTCGAAACCTAAAGTCTAAAAATATTTCTTAATAGGTCCATAAACAAAAATATATCAACGTAAAGTAGCGTTTACTGTTTCAACAAAGCATACTAAAAATCCCGTATAACCCACATGCTTTTCTTTATGTTCTTACGGGTTATGTGCATCAATGCGATAAAATTAAGATGGGCTTTAGAATATTTAAAAAAAATGACGTTTGACATTTTGACAATTTAAAATTGACTTTGACGTATCGCATTTGACATTGACATTGAGTTTGATGGCTGAGACTCTCCCCTGACACCCTTTTTAATTTTGTTGTTGTAATGGCAGAAAATCTAAAAAGACGACCCAGGAAAGGGATTTTAAAAAATTCTAGTAGTTTTGACAAACAAGATCCGCAGTTTAATGCAAAGTAAGCTTAATTATTTTAGCTATAATCCAAATTTAATATAAGGGCCTCAATTAGTTAAATGAAGGAAATTGCACATTTATATATTCTATATTTAAATTCCGAAATCATTTTAGAAAACAAAAGGAAACGAAATGGGATGAAATGAATATAATAGCTACGCTTCACCCAGCAGATAAGGATTATGGACATATGAAAATTCAAGAGCCCAAAACACCCTTTAATTATATGGAACAGGATAATATAGAAGAACTAGACGCCAGCGAATTAGCTGAAAGGTATTTGGATTATTAAATTATTCAATTTGCTGCTGGCTCCAATTTGCAGCACAAATAAAACAATTTTTTAATTTATGTACACTGGACCCATGATTATTTCTTTGTTTAAAATATTTATTTTTCCATAGGTTCAGTTGTATTATTTTATGTAGCCACTTTATATACATCTTAAATACGTTTTGTACATATATGCAGTTAAATTTTGAATCATTAATCAGTTATGTCATACATATTTACATTTACATAAAAGAAGGTGCTATATTAATCACTGTATATATTATATATTCATGAACATTTTTATCATGTTTTCCTATTTTAAAAAAATAGATAATAAAGAAATATAATAAATCTTTCTTAGTAATGATAAAAATGTATTTTATAATGATAAGTTTATTGTGATTTTTTACTATATGTGTCATTATGCAATTTTACCCTCATGGCACCTATATTCATCAATTATATAGTTATTAAGGCAAAAGTATATACAGTGATGCCACATAAAGTCAAAGAGAAATCGTGAGATCGGAAAAAATAAATTGTCAGATTTCGCTACAGTTGAATTTTGAAGGAAATGGGAGTTTTTAAATGATATATAATTATACAAAACTATTTTAAATGCGTTATATTGTTATATATTATATAATATATAAGTACATATTTAAAAATTAGTGTACTAGAAAAGGGCATATTTTAGGGGAACCACCAGTATAAGATATAATTTTAGGAAATTACCTACCTACATATATACTTATATGTATAACATGCAAGCTAACTAACTGGAACTTGTTTAGATTGTCACTACATTTAAATTTTGTGAATTTGTATGTTCAGTAAACAAAATTTCAATTTCAAAATAATTCATAAAATTAATTAATATTATATTGCATGCTCTTTCGTTATTTATTAAAACGACATGGCAACATTGTCAAATACAAAAGTTTCCTTTATTTGTAGCTAACTTCACTGGCACTTCCTATATACTTTTGCGGTTATTAATAATCGACAATTACAAAACAAATTATTTCTTTGACATTTTGTACTATTGTAAAAATAATACCTCAATCGACCATAGGAGCTTATCGCGGATGCCTCGCTCAGTATCATAAGTGTGAGTTCGTCTTGTCTTAAACTGGGGATTGAACCTGAACTCTCAGCTGATAGCAAATAAAACAAATCTTAACTAATCATATTTAATAAAAACAATAAAAAACAATCAACCCTGCCAAAGCTTAACAATTAATTTGTGATACTTATTGCTTCAATGGGCTGCTTGTGTGTTGTAGATGTTTCAAGAAAGCTTCTAGAGAAGTTTTCTTGTGGCATTTTAGTATTATTTACTATCTTTAATGGAAGTAATAAAGATACAAATTGAAAAATGGTACCAACCCATGATTTTTAGTTAATATAGAATAGTGTAGCTGGTTAAATAAGTCATTGTACAGTGATCAAAATATTTTTAATTTGTATTTTGAGAATGATTTACAAAGTGGAAAAATTTTAATGCTACAGTTTTGTTTTATGTATATTGAACAGAAATTGTGGTTATTTCATATTGAAGGTATTAAATAATTCTCTAATGTCATGTATGATTCTTCATCTTTACAAAATCTGTGTGCTAAACCCTAGTATATGGTATATTTTGATTCTTTCATTTATTTAAGGATAAGGATAGCAACTGAGCAGCCCCCCAAGGTGATGCAACATGATGATTCTGATGATGACTCAGAAGGTGAATTGACAGATGATCAGAAAAAGAAAAAGAAAGAATTTGAATTGAAGAGGAAAAAGCACTATAATGAGTTCCATGCACTTCAACTGGCAAAAAAGTTATTGGAAGAGGAAGAAGATGACGATGATGAAGAAAAGCATCATAATAGCTCTGATAATCAACCTTCTTCATCGTAATAAGTAATAAATTATTATTACTAAAATTTTAGTAGTAGGTTTTCCATATGTTGTGATTATAATACAGATTTAGAGATGACTGCAGTCTAAAAAGTGAATTCAGAGATCAACTTGTTTTAATTCCATGTTGGTATTATAAATATATCAACTTATTTATGATTAAAAATTAACCATATTTCCAAATATTTAAATAGTGAACAGATAATTCTTTATTTATTCTTTATATAATCTTACATTTTTGTTTATATTTGGTATCATTTATTTATTTTAAAACTATGGTGTGTGTCTGTGTCCTCTAAGCCTTGTACTTGTATTTTCAAAATTTTATCTTTCTTAAACAGTATTTGAAAACTTTGTATATGTATCATTGCTTCAGTAGTTAAACATGAGTTAAATTTTGTTTTTAAAAACTTTATGGAAATTGTATCAAACATTTTGTGGTTACCCTTTTCACTTTTACTGTAAAAACTCATCACTACTGTAGCTACTTTCAATTTGAAGTAGAGTAGTGATCTAATAACATGATTTTGTGCAGAAATAACTAATATGCTATTAATAGTCCAATCAATGAGAGCAAAAATAGGATATTACCTCTGATTTCTATTCTACTGCATTGATTTGGATGAAATTTTGGGAATAAGCTCTATCTCCCTCCTATTTCAACGTCTACCCTATTCCGATATATGCTTATTAGTTTTTAGGGATGAAAACTACTGCTTATTGCCATAATTGAATAAAACTAGTTGTAACGTAAGTCAAAGTACTGTTTAGGCTTTAATAGCGTTTGATGGAAGTTAAGTAAAAGTCTTTTTATACTTCAAGACATTATTTTTGAAATGCCACAAGCAAAGTGATCCTCGCGTTATCAAACTAATTTAAAGTAAGGATATCTCTGACAGTTTTAATGCTACAGTAATTAAAAAACTTTCTTGTCAAAAAACACTACATTTTTTACTGAATCATGTTTTTCGTATCTCTTATCATTTTCGAGTTATATGGAGAAAAATGCAGATTTTTAAGAAAATTTAAAAATACACTCTATGATTTGATCTTATCTTATTCAAAAACTATGCATTTTAAACTATTCTAACTTTTTGAGCCTAGAAATATCACTAAAACAAAAGGTATTGTAAAAAGAAAAAGATATATTTAAATTCTGGTGTATGCAGGGTTAAATATACTGCTCATTTTTTCTTAAAATATATGAGTGGTTTTTTTACACTGTATCTCGTTTATTTCAAATGCAATCAACATTTTACAAAAAGCGTTCTCAGCATTATACCCATAATATCGATCATTTTTATGTTTTTTCAAGTTGAGTGCACCAATTCGAGCATTCACAAAAAAAAAGTCTTTTTCACCTGCCATATGTAGCTTGCAACTAGAAGATTGCTGTAAAAACGACTCTCTTTGTTTTTTCATATGCTACAACAATGTTTCTCACACTTTTTTTTGTTAGATACATAGTTTTTAAGCAAAAAATTGAAGAGAGAAAAGGTATAATTTTTCAATGAAAATGGCAAATTTTCAATCAAGAATAACTCAAAAAGTATTGAGTTTAAAAATAATTATTAAAATTTTTTGTTTAGCATTAGATCCTCTAACAACTTGAGCAAAAAAAGTCTTCTTCCGAGAAGGTGTGGGAACCCCCACCGAGATAAAAGCATATTTTGGCATAGCGTAGACTTTGTTTCTTGAACGATTCCCTACTTACTGTGAAAATATCAAGTAAATTGATGCATTAGGGTGGAATTCGGAGCAAAATACCCTCATTGACTGGATGGACTATAAAGGGACATTTATCTCTTGTTTTGAAAGAAATCGCTTGCCTATAATTTTTTTTCTTTAGAATTTGAAGCACTTTTTGGTCTGTGAGTTCACTGTCAAGAATAAATCAAAAAATGTGTTATTTTATTTTTATTTATTGACTATTTAATAGCTATTAGGAATTGCCTTTTGTTATTAATACAAACTTTTCCCAAAATAGGTTTGTCAATCAGAATCAGACAAAACTCGAATCATATAAACTAGAGAGTTTATATGATTCTTATTTTTTATAATTAATGTCGCTGTCTCCAAACCATCTGCTTCATTTATATCTTTGAACATTGAGCTAATTGTATTGAGATCCTCATATTGGCTACTTTAGTATACCATTAAAACATCTAAATATTAGAAAAATCTTGTAAATCTAGTAACGGGAGAAATACATAACTTTTACATATTACTTTACAATATTGAAGTACTCACAAAGCTATTTTGGGAGTCTGTAACCAAATCTGGTCACATATTATTGTCTTGGTCTAATCTAAAACATCCTAACCTACTCTGCAGATATGTATTCCCAACATACTACAAATATATGTAGAAACGCCTAATTTGAAATACTAGGATGTGTAGAGTTAGGTTCAGATGTTTCTGAATAGCGTCAAGTTAATTAAACAAAACTTGTCTATCATATATATTCCTGTGACTTTATTTTATCTACTTAAAGATAAAAGAAGTGACTAAAATTGAAATGTTTTACTGAGTGATTTTATTTTTTCTGTATACAAGAAAAGACCAAATCAAAAACTTTATTGTCTATATTTTTCGTAACAATAAATTTGTATATTTTGATCAGAGTTTATTTAGAACTGAAGATATCTATTTAAAAATCTGATTAGTGCATTACTATGTACATTATATGCGTTGTTAACAAGTCGTGTTAGATATTAAAGATATATTGGAAGTAGATATGTTTAGTAAATATTAAAAAAATAAAGGTAGTAGATGTTTTTAACAGGGTCGTCTGATAAAACTCAGTGGAAAGGATGATATCTTATTGTTTATGTTGTGCGGATGTTTATAAAGCTTTTTCATATAGGAAAACAGTGATATTAAAGTAAAAAATAAGTTCCTGCTGAATAGTGCTTTATTTTTGCACCTGTGTCTTGACTGTGTTTGCTATCTGGCTTTTATCAATTTAATTATTTCCTCATGCTTTTTACAGTCCTGTAATTCTTTATACAAGAATACAATTCAAGGCTAAATCTGGACTTGTACATTGTCATTAACCATGAGAGATAAGTGTGGATTAATTAAAGATAGTGCAAACACACCTGACCATGGAGCTGTGCGAAGGTCGAGTTAAAATTTACGTAAAGGCAGAAAGGTTCTATTATAAGTGGAATTATACAATGCATTAGTACAGTGCGTTTCGCATGGAAGTGGGGACTTAACCAAATTTCGTCTACTGCGCCATAGTCATTAGTGTTTGCACTATCTCTATCTTAATATTGTAATGTTAAAAACAGGCAGCTCTGCAAATTTGACAGTTTCCCTTCTTTTATTTTTGACTATGGCCTCTAAACTGCTGGTATATAGCCACATTGAACTGTTTAAAACATCTAATGCTAAAATTTTATGTAGAAAATACGCATAGAGTTCCCCCGCGTATATTTTGCTCATGGATACCTGTGCTTCCACGAAAAACATCTGTGCCATGTGAAATTTGACAAAGTTTTTACATTTTTGAAAGTATTTGTACATGGGCAATCCTGAGTTGACGATATTTGTTTGACAATGTATTGGCTGTGTTCAAAATAATTATTTGTTTATGGAATATCTATAAACTGATATGTGAAGTGTATACAAAAAGTTCAGTGTCTGTAGAAGAACTTTGGCATGTATATAGGTGCCTACATTTTAATTGATTCACATTTGCATAGACTTTTGTAAATGGCATAAGTTGAAGATTCGAATATACAGTGTGATTATTTAATAATGAATATTCTGTTACCTGCAGAGTCTACAGTGGAAAATGTTTATTGCTAAAAATAGCTGGGATTTCAATTTTATACATAACATAATGGTATATTTGAGTTACATTTTCACATATAAATGTAAAAGAAAAGATAAAAAGAAAAAAGTTACAGTTACTTCAACCACAGAAAAAATCTTTTGATTTTAGTAAAGTTATATTCATGTTGTGACAAACAATATTTCGAATTAGAAAATGTAAAACTTAATAATTCACAGTTAAATTTGCCGAAAGTACAAGCTGAATATAGTCGCAAATGTCAACCATGAAATAAAATATTTCTGTTTGGCAGTATTGGGATGAAATATAAAGAGAGAAAGCTTTTAAAAAGTACATTTTGATTATACTATTTGATGAATTCTGCAATTTTTAATTTACATGAAACAATAACGAGTAACTATTTGTCTCTTTCGAGATTAATTGCATACATCTGTTCAAGGTTATTAAAAAAAGACAGGTTGTCTGGTAACTTTACACCAATCAGCGTCGAGAATCTAACGGCGGGAATGACGTCACTGAGAATGCTACATTCAAATTCATTCACACTTTACTCCTTGATATGAACTCGATAATCAGCAATGATTGTAAATATATTAATCTCTGTATATTGAAAAAAAAAATACATTTGGACTTTTAATAACTATTTATTTCATTCAATCTTTAAAAACGTGGGAGATAAGTACCTGCAGAGTTACAGAAATCATAAAAGATTATTGCAGCTAAACATATGACTGTAGTAGAATAGCATTACTATATTAAATTGGAAGTAGATTCTTTTTGGTGTATACATGTAACTAAAACATGTTAATATACTATATTAATAATGGGTTGAATACAATTTACTTTTTTTAAATTATTTTGAATTGAGGATAATGCATGTAGTGGATTATTATAAATTCCTCCAAACAAGTAAACCATGCTGAAAAAGAGATTCAACTAAAGATTTATATATCAGAATTAGTAGTTTTTCCCTTAACTTCAATATATTTAAGCAACATCTGATTACATTACTGGATTATATAATAGAAAATAAAAAATATTAAAACATGATTCCATTAAATAGATACCTTTTAAGTTGTACATAATTAACAGTAAATTATAAAAATCAAAATCAGTGAATTAACACATTTTTACTGAACATTTAAATGACTATACCTCTCACCATCTTTTTTCAGCTGTTTAGGTTGTATGTTTAATAGATTAGCTTTTATAAAGCATCCTCATAATTTTCAATGCGAAAGTGTATACTACAAACTTTTTTATAAAAAAAAACGGGACCACTTGTCCTTCCTATGACACTTGCTCATCCATTGCTTTTGAATTTTTACATTTTTTGAAAGTGTAAAAAACATTAAATTCCTTCCATCCTTTTTCCACCCTTTTACTAACCTTGCATCTGTTGCAATATGGCAACTGCTGATTTGACGATTGCCAAATATATCCCCTGATCTATCAAAGGGCAATTGCCAAAAAAGTTTCTAATAGTTAACTGCAATTAATCTCCGAAGAAACAAATATTTACTCATTATTGATTTGTATAAATCAAAAATTGCAGAATTCATAATATAATATAATCAAAATGTACTTTTCTAAAGCTTTATCTCTTTATATTTGAAGCATACACCATATACATTATAAAAACATGCCAACACTGTTAAACCGAAATTTTTCGTTCCATGTTTAACATTTGGGGCTATAATCAGCTTGTACTTTCAGTAAACATTATATTAAATAAATACCTCTCTACCAAATTATAGAAATACAGATTACGCACGAAGTTGATTCATCAAAATGAACTATATTACCATCTGTACTTTCTGTTTTCAATTTTATTGTGACACAGTGGTAGGAAACCTTCAAGTAGAAAGTTACTTCCTAAGTTAATTTCTCAGAGTCTTATGAAATTTACTAATGTGAAAAATATTTATTAAAATCTCAGAAACTGAATTTTTTGTATTGTATCAAGGTGTTAATATTATTTTCAGAAAGGAGCTCATATTGAAGTGGATTTAAAGACAAAAAGATTTGTAATGATTATTTTATTAAAGATATGAGAATATATAATATTTTTGTGAAATAATAATATATTATACATAAAGCAAATATAAATATCACCTTTTAAGAAGCAAACTATGAAATATTTATTTGCGATTAAAACACTGTTTTCTATTCGTGACTATCTGAATCTGTCTTTTGCTTAGAAGAATTTACGGAGTTTTTATTTATATTATACCTCACTTTTTTACAAGTGGTGGTAGTATGCAATTGGTGCATCTTCCGGCAGTTGTAATGTGCCTCTAAAAGTCACCACATAGTAGACGGTGTCATAACACGAGGATTTCTCAGTAGGTCATATCTAACACACAATCCATTACAGGCATTTGAGATAGTTTTTATCTATCAGTTGTACTTTGCCTTATCTTTCTTTATACATAGTAAGTGCTAGGCTGGTTTCATATTATTATGGGACCCTTTTGTTTGGAAGGTCTTGAAACTTTTGAAAAGAAAAGTTTCTTTTCAGAGTGTAGGTAGTTAAAGCCGTTGTGTGATACTGTTCGTAGATTTCAATGGAGTTCCACACATACACTACATCTGTTTGTGGCTTGTAGATACGCATTGGCGACTGCTGTCAAGCCTTTTATGGATCAAAGTCTTGCATCAATAATTTTAAACCTTTCTCTCGTATTCACTCACTCTATCTTTGTATTTCCTCACCTCAGCATCGCAGTTTTTTTAACTATTTTTCAGTGGTCAAAAAATCGTATAGATGGGGACTTCGTTGTACCTCTTTCGCGATGGCCGCGTATAAGTAGGCAACGTATTTAACATACTTATGACTAACCAACCCTTTAATAAACCCGGTAAGAATTTTGTACTGATGCGTTGGTTTCCGCACATACGGTCTATGGTCCAAATTAATTTCATTCTATTATGTCGGCGGCTGGTCGCTCAGACAATGACTAAGCTTCTTTTGAACCGATGATTTTTATTTAACAGCGAAAATGGGGAAATCCTCCCCTCCTCAACAAACTGAGCAAGACATATTAGCGCAGACAAGAATGTGTATCAAAAAAATGAACGGGGTTGTATGAGATAGACCATAAATACAAAGAAAAATTTGGTAATAAACGAAACAGGTCGAAAATTACTAATCGCAATTGAGTTCATGAGAAGAAGCTGTAGAGAAACACTGAAGAAAATCGATTAATTTGGTATGGACACATGAGATCATACAAGATAGAGATCAAAGATTTTGGAATGGAGGGATGAAGTGGATGAGGCCATGGAAAGACGAGAATTATACATCCTTTCTGATTTTTAATCACTTATTTACAGGACAATACCGTTTTTTACTGATAAGCCTAAGACAAAATTACATTTGAAAAACTTTATGATGTTTTTTTTTACCAAAGTTGTTGCCGATTATTTTCCATCATTTGTCTTCTGCTTCTCGTCTCCATTCCAAGTACCTACTTCTTTTAAGTCACTCAACCTTCTCTATCCATCTTGCTCTCGGTCTTCTTCTACTGGCCTCGTATGTAAAGCCATTTGTTTATGCCCCAGCCACCTCATTATTTGTGTATTGACATATGCCGTAATTTCAGGCTGTTTTATACTGCTCATATACTTCATGATTGGTTCTTCTCCGTTATTCCCCCCCTTTTATCCCTTTCAAAATGCCCCTCAATATTTTACGTTACCATTTTTATAGCCGCTCCTCTTCAACATTATTGAGCACCGACATCTGATGTGCATATGTAGTAGTTTTTTTTTATTTGTCAAAGTTTTTATTTATATAAACCGTTATTTTTTGTCCCTCACGAGTACGTTGGAAATGTGGTTGGAAACCAACACATACGAAGTTTCTTACACGATAGTTGCGGATAGAAACATTATTTTTATGTTAGCTTGAAATTAAAAAATTGCTCTCTTTAAAAAGGTAAACTTGATTGAGGTTAGTGGTACAAATAAGTAGCCCCAAAAATTGAGTTAGAAATACTCAATTTCATTGACGTTAACATAATGTACAAAAATATCTTTTATTTTATAAATGTAGACGCGCTAAATGAAATTTATTGGAAAATATATGCTAAAAAAACTATTAAACTGTTTTTATTGTTTACCTTTATGCTTTTAAAAAAACTAGTGGGACTATATACTGTGGAATGGGTAGTTCATTCGATTATATGAAATCAACTTTAACTTTGTAATGCCCAAAAAATATTTTCAACTGAAATTGTGGTTAATTCGCATTAAAGATAATAAATAATCAATGGTAGCTGAAGTTAAGTATTTGAGATGTGGCTATATTAGATAATACTTAAGATTCCGTGGACTGACCGATTCACAAATGAGGAGGTCCTCAGAAGAATGAATAAGAACCGAGAGGTACTGACCACTATCAAATCTCGAAAGTTAAAATTCTTCGGACATATTCGAAATGAATCCAGTCTTCTTCAAGCCATCCTGCAAGGAAAATATTTGGAAAACAGGAAGAAGAAGAACATCTTGGTTAAAACTCCTCAGAATGTGCTTCAATACAACATTTGTGCAGCTTTTCCGCTCTGCTACAGATAAGAAAAATATTGGCATGATGATCGCCAACATTCGTAATGGATAGGCACATCAAGAAGAAGAAGCTGCAGTAATGACTCACTTCTTTCATTAATTTTTGTGGTGCCCCAGGTCAGGTGGTGCGCATTCATATTACAGCCGATTATTATTTGCCGCCCAGAAAAAAAAATGGACGGATACAACATACGTGTGCGAAACTTGTCCTGGAAATCCAGAATATTGTCTAAATTGCAGCATCATAATTCACAGATAGAATATAGCAGCCAAAGTTTTATTAATATTTAGGTTTGTTTTTGTTACATATTTCGAAATAAATAATGTTTTACTGTAGAGTATAGGCAACGCTTATAAGCGTCAACGGTACACGGATATGAATGCCAAAATTCAGTGCCACTGCCGCTTATGAGCGTCAGTTTTTTTTTACCTTTTCTTAAATATTTGAAATAGCAATTACATGTAAAACATCATTATTCATAATTATTAGCAACGGCATACCGTTTTTTTCTATTTTTTTTTTAATTTGGAACCATGTAAAAGTAAGAAAATAACGGCATCCAACCTGTTATGGTCTGTAGCTAGTCTCTTCCACGATCAACTGCCAGGGAGATTTCTTGAGTCCTCATCATGCTCACATCGCTTTTTTGGTTTTCCAATAGATCTCTTCCCCTGCATTCTTGCATTCAACAGTTTTTTTTGGAAGCCTGTTTTCTTCCATCTTAAATACACGGCCTGCCCATTGAAGACAATGTAGGCAGACAATCTGAGATAAAGCTGGTTCTTTATGTATATACACTACCGAGCATAAAATTAGGGTCACCCCGTAATTTGAATTTATTTTAGAAATTATTATTCTGTTTTAACTATTTTCGGTTGTAACATAGTTTACTAACGGATTGCTTAAAGAAAACAACGTTTTTGTCGTTTAAAGTTTAATAAAAATAATGGAAATAAAGAATTTTCCTTTGATGTGATTTTTGTTGAAAAAAAGAAATTTTAAGAACTTCAGTAGCGATTATTACCTCCTCTGGCAGTGATAACAGCTTGCAAATGACGAGGCATGCTTTGGATTAGATTTTGGATCACATTCTGCGGAAGATTATTCCATTCTTGCACCAATATGATGCGAAGCTCTCTCGAATTTCTGGGGGCCATCACATGACTCCGTAAACGTCTCTTCATCTCATCCCAAACATGTTCTATGGGATTGTCATATGGGATTGTCATATGTCAAGATACTCAGTAACTATCCTAGCAGTCTGGGGCCCTGCATTATAGTCTTCCAGAATCTGTGTCAGGTACCTATGCGCTGTCAATGTCCCATTCTCGATAAAGACTAACTCCGTGCAAGCATCAAACGATATGCCTCCCCACGCCATAACTGACCCTCCACCAAATGGAAGACGCTCGGCAACACATGCTTGAGCATATCTCTCGCCTGGACGTCGCCACACTCTTACAGTTTTGTCTGAGCCTGTAAGACAGAATCCTGATTCATCGGAAAACAATACACGACTCCAATCCTGCATTGTCCAAGCCAAGTGTCCTCGTCCAAAAAAGTCAAAAAAGTCGTCTCCTAACTGTCCATTTACTTATGTTTACATTTCTCACTTCTTGCAGATGATTTCGAAGAGAAACTGCCGTGACCGTTCGGTTTCTCTCTAGCTGTTGTAATCCTGCCTCGACCTGAAGCAGATCTTCGAGTAAGCAGACCGGTCTCTTCGTACCGTTGTCATACTTGTTGCACACTTGAGAGACTTACACCAACGTTTCTCGCAGTTTCGCGCTGACCGTGATCATCTTCTAACGCCGCCACAATTCTTGCCGCCACAACAGAATTTATATTCATTGCAATACACTGACAGTGATAACAATACACCAACAATTTACAATTGACGTTAAAACCATAGAAACAAAAACTGTGCTAATAACGGTTTTTAGGAATTAGGCTAAGGTGCCCTTTTTATCTCAAACGCTTGTCAAAACAACAACGACAATAATTTTTTTTCCAGAAATCCATTAGTAAACTATGTTACAACCGAAAATAGGTAAAACAATAATAATTTCTAAAATAAATTCAAATTACCAAGAAAAAATCGTTAATTCTTATTAAACTTTTATTTTTCTGTGTCAATGTAACCTATTTGTAACCAATGTATAAAAAAAATTGGAATTTTTCAAAAAATGTTTGAATTACAACATTTTCGTTCCATTTGCCAATGGTGCGTATATGCACCATTGATTGGGGAGCTCAGTGGCAGCACAGATCTCACCATATAATGAGCCAATTGTTCGGCGGTTTTTTGAGATTTGCCCATTGAGCATGGTATAAGTCTTCGTTTATGTATAATATGTATATGTGGTCAATGTGGTGTGTATTTGTGTGTGTATGAGTGTAAGTCATAAGGCCTAATTTTGTTTTCATTCGTTTTGGATCAGATAACAGGGACATTGTAGGGTAACATTCCCTGATTCGTAGCGTACGCTGATGATGTGGTGTTAGTAGGAGATCCTGAAGGGGAATTAGAGCTCCTAGAAGACAAACTTAAATACTGTATTTACATAGGATTAAACTACATCTGTGATTTTGCCAATTGGTAAACATCACAGGTTAAAAATGTCTTTATAATATTTTTTGAAAACAATTTCCGGATTGGAAATGGAAACGTAAAACAAACGCAAAATGTAATTTTCATTACAATGAATAATTGTGGTTTGTCAGTGTTGTGTCAGTGTTATGTCACACGTCCTCTATAGTATTATCAAAGAATATAGACGCTTGAGCGTCTATATTCTTTGGTATTATACATGAACATTTTTAGTCAGAAAATTTATTTCCCCGAGTAAAATATTTTTTATACCCCTCGTATAATATGACAGAAGATAAGATACCCATGTCATTTGTCAGATGTCTGTGTCGTCAAATTGTGACATTATTTGTCTCTTCTAGTTCTAAATAGAAATTCCCTGTAAAGCAATTCACGTTTCACATAACAAATAAACACGGAAAAAGAAACGCCATTTTCTGGTTGTCATAGGTTGTACGCAGTTAAATTTTTTGTGATAAAACTTAGTGTTCCTTTGTTACCTATTAACATATATAAAAGTAAGTTTTTCATATTTTTCATCGCTTACAATTAGAAAGAAGTATGAATATATATGGCTGATTATTTTGTTATAAAAATCAGCTGACATGAAGATATTTTTCCTATTGTCATTGTTAGAATATGTCACTCATATGGCTGTTTTTATCTATTTTAATCAAATTTGACGCCCCCTATTACCACACAATTCATTGATATATTTTGAGGGATTGATTTGAGGCCTTTATATTAAACAAAGGTCGGAATTATGAATCTTCTGTAGTGATGTCACAATCTTATTATTGAGATATTACTGGGAACTATTGACTCACCAGGTTGTTACCATCCTGCAGATCATTGTTAATTATTATCTCTATTCTTTATTCTCAGCTTCATGTAACTATATTTTCATTGTTGTAGTGTAAAGTCTTTTCATTTTTTGTAAAGTTCAATTGGTTCTAATGTTGATTTTGGAATGGTTAAAAAATTACCTATACTATCAATCCTTATTTTCAATTTAATTTGGGTAATTTAATTATACCTCTATTATTTCAATTTTAGTCTAAGGACAATTTTAGTTTATCAAATGGAAAAGAAAATTTACAGTGCACATGCATACTCATACATCTTAGTGGTCTCCATTCACCATCTTCTATTCTTTGATCCCATAATATTTTTAATGATGTTTTAAATATTATGTGCTGATTAATTTATTTATCCAATCCTTAATGTGTCCATCCAATCTCAATCTATCCAATGTTCTAAACTTTGTTTAATTCTCTCTTTCAGCATTTTACATATGTTTTCTATTGTGTTATGTTTTTGCAATTGTCACACCATGATTATTTGTCTATATTTTATATTAATATAACATTATATTTCCTATTTCTTTCATTACATAGTTCAATGATACATTAAAAACAAATACCGATAATCTCTGTACTTTGAAACTGTAGATTTTTGCTCCAGTTTTATGATTGATATTGAGTCATATACTGTTAGCATCAGTATTTTTTTCATATCTTTTATGTCTTTATTAGTTTACTTGAGTTTTCCTTGTCCAATGTGTTATTTAGTAATCATATTTGAATTTTGTAATTGTTGATGTTCTTTTTCTAAAGTTTAGGCCATATTTTCAATTTAGTATATTAGTATGAATACAAGACCGTAACGATTACAGAAAACAACTGTTGCTACTTCTTAAATTAACATTGTTAGAGTTATCAATGTTATCATCTTGATGTAGACTGTTGATAGAATAGTTTGTTGTTAGTCTGTGATTCTCATAAACATTATGTTTTTGTTTTAATTCCTCTATCTTAAAAAATTCAATCCATAACAGTGTATCATATTTTTGTAGATTTTTTAGTGTTAAGACAACAGTTTTAATTTCTGATGTTAATTTTTGTTAAACAGTTCATTTGTAAGGTATTGAGTATGGCCTGATTTCTTGATTTACTCAGTAATAAAGATTGTCTGTAAATTATATTAGGTTATTTACATTTCCTCATATTGGCCACTAATATTAAGGCACTTAGATTGAATAAGAATCTTTTGCATTTTATCTTCATAGAAACTTGCTGTCTGATTTTGTAGCTACTGCACATAACCCTGTTACGGCTATCATCATCATCATAGAGCTGACTTTGCAAATATTTCTTCAGTTGCAGAAATACATGCTGGTCACTGGGTACTGGCTCAGTGTTGTATATATGATGGTCAAATTGTTTTGATACATTAATATCTTGAGTTTGTTTGGCTACATGTGGATGGATATTGTCATATTGCAGTTGCTGCAATTTTCTTAAAGTTACAATATGTTTTTTTTGTATTTCTTTATTTATTTATTTATTTATTTATTAAGGGAATCCATTTACAAAAGTTTTAACAAAGCTACAAGAACAATAAATTTTTAAAATATCAAACATCTCAGAATAATAAACTATATTAAACTTTAATATAGCTATCAAGGGTAGACTAGTATTGACTAAAAGATATCACTTATTTTAAGATACCTTTTTGTTGTTTTTAAATAGACTAATTGGGGAGTCAAAAATATTTATTTGTCTTGGCAAGCTATTAGCACTCCAGACCATCATGTAGTTGGTGCATTGATACCATAATTAGTGTGATGAAATCGCACTGAAAAGATTTCTAATTGTCTCTTGTTTTTATTGGGTACTTTCAGAGTAATGAGTTATAACAATTGAGGACAATCTATAATAGCATTATTGACTTTTTACAGGAAACATAAATATAATAATATCCCCCTTGACTCAAATGTTGGTAAATCAATACTGTCTCTTACTTTTTGATAGTCATATTCCCCTCTCCAGTATCCACTCCTAAAAGCTGCTATCCTCAATTTTATTTTGGACCCTTTTAATCTGTTAAATGTAACAGTTCTATGATGGGGACCATACAGCTGATCCATACTCAAGAATGAGCCCAAACGAGACTGTAATAAAGTATTCTAAATGTAAACAAAAGCAGGTCTATAGATGTGTGTTGGATAAATCCCATTACTTTTATCGCCCTGTTGGTTGCTTGATAGATTAGGCTTGAGAATAACAGTTTGGTTTCTTTGGTGACTGTTATTGTATCACCACAATGCTAAAAGCCAATAAGCAATATCCCTTTCCTGTTTTACATGAGTTACTCACAAGGTACACACGATTTTCAGGGCTAAAATTATGTACTTATATTTTAATCTCTCGGATGATGTTGAATGTGACCATTCCATGGGTTGTTGATTTATTTCAGCTGTAATGTAGACCACTCATGTTTCATCTCCTGTAAAAATTTGGCTTAAATAATATTTCGCTTTAATAGCATAATGTTCAAAAAATTTAAGGTGCTGACTAAACATTTGTGTACGACTCAGACAACATTGTTGATACAGATTGTGAGTAAAGTTTTGATAATTTAATCCAATAATTGTTACATTTAAATGTAACAATTTTGTATATAACACTTTTTGCGACTTCAGGGAACAACTCAGATAATGAAGAAGTCCTGGATTATCTGTTTATTGTCACTTTTTGTCAACTTCCTATAATTTCAAAAGTACTTATTAAAAAAAAAACATTTACATTAAAAACACTACTTATTATTATAATAAAGTATATAGTATATAAGCAAGCAGTATAGTTTAAAAATGGTCTTTCCAACATATAGCTTTTGCCACTTTTTGGTGGCATTTTGATTTTTACCCACTTTTTACCTATTTGATACTACTCACTCCAGTATCATTGCTGTATTATTAGAGACTTATTATCCAATATATTCATAGCTAACCTTTATATATTTATTTTACTATACACAAAAGATTTATATTGAAAAATATTAAGCATTATTGACTTTTATAGTAGACAACTAAAGGAACTTGTACACTTATTTTTAAACATTAATCAGCGCTTGAATACTTTTATTCTCATTTTAAATTCCAAAATTCTAAACCATACATATTATTACCAAAACTGTATGTCCAATGAACTGAATATCTGTTTATTTAATAATAACACAAATTATACCAAAACGTAGTGTTGACTAATATAGATACTGGTTGTTTAAATAAACAGTAGAAAAGGGTAAACAATAAACATTATTGTACTGTAGACAAAATTTTGATAAGATATCTTGCTAGATAATCATAATTGAACAGAATTGAACCAGTGTTGTCAAAGGAGTTTGGCTAAATATCTGGTTTTGAGTGAGCACATTTAAAACATTCTCAGCCAAATTACTCTAGCCCTAGAGGCGTTCTTGTATGTCAAATAAAATTGTGGCACATGTCCAATGATTAATAATGACAAGTAATGTAGCAAATGTGTTAAAAAATTTATAACTGTATATATCATATAAGTGATTTTATTGAGGATTTACAAAAGCTTATTAAAATTTAAATATTAAATAAATTCTTTGATATAAAAAGAAACATTTAGAAAAAGTTAATACAAAAATGTATCTATTGTTAATGAAAGACACCTATTCATGTTGAATGTGTAAAAGAACAATGTTAAATGCTAAAAGTGTATATGTGATACACCAATTAATTTTTGATAATAATATTCAAATATGTGGCTTCCATAACTGGCTCTGCTTTTATGCCAATTTAGCAACACTAAATTCAAAATTTAATTTAATTGAAACTTTACTTAATAATAATAATATAATAATAAATTTAAATTGAATAATAGATTCGTTATTCATAATTCATCATCATCATAAATACAATATTTAATTCTTGTCCCTTGAAATCCTTGAAAATTTTGCAATATTTAAGTAATGTAGTTGTATTTAGAAATATTAATGTAAATTATCTAGTCAATAATGAAAGTAAAAGGTTGAGGTATTGTTTGCATTTTATGACTATTTTTTTTTCATCACTCGGTGGGAAATCTGCAAACAGACGCCAGAAATAAATGTTACAACTGTGCTGGGTTCCTAAAAAAAGCCATGGTCGACCAGCTTCGCCCTGAATCGAATCTACCTACCCACCGTAGGTCCAATGTAGCCGGGACCAACATATCCCCATTACCCGAGGACATTGGTTGGTATTGTACACTATCACATGCGACTAGTATGTTCACCTTCGTATTCATCCTGTCAGCGCGTCACCCGTCTTAATCTCGTCGCGCTCCTGCCTCTAACGGGAGGCAGAGTCTCGACAAACTATCCCATATATTCTTGAACCTGCTACAGCTACAGCTTTAATCGTCCGTCGTTGCCGTTTCGATCTCGTATTCGTTTTCTTGCCCCTCGTTCCTCTATCGCTCGTGCAAGCTTGCCGGCGTTACTGCCTCTCTCGCTCTCTCGTTCACGCTCGTATTTACCTCTATGTTATCGATTTCTCTATCCCTGCGGACCCAGTTTTTGTCCTCGATTCTAGCTAGTACTATGTCTAGCTCCTGCTCTTTCTTCTCTTTTGTCGATAACATCTTTTTCACTTAATTGTTGATTTTGTTCACTCTCTCCAGCTCATTCCTTTCTCTCTTCCATCTGATACAATCCAACAGGGTACGTGTCTCAGTGTCCGAAGCCTCACAAGTAGCTGCGGGAACTTGCTTTTCCTGTGAGCAGCTGCGACAGATTACAGATAGTAATCAAAGCGCCTGTACTTACAGTCCAGCCAGTTCTGCAGGTTCAGTATCATTGACTTCATCCTCCGTTATACAGCCAATGATCACCCAAAAGGCCGCAGCAGAGACAGTGCTTTACCAAGTCTGCGCGTACCTAGAGTCTCTTATACGTGGGTATTACCACTGTCATACTCCAGACTGGCGTTGCTTAGAAGACGGCCGAATGCACAACACCGTTGTAGAATCCTCTTTCTTTTGGATTAGGATCCATCTATATTGGACATTATCCTCCCTAGAGCAGCCGCTTTTTCTGCCGCCTTACGGGTCACCTCCCGGATGTACTCTTCCCAACTCCCATTCATATGTAGGACGATCACCAAGTACATGGTGTACTACTTAGAGATGATCTGCACAATCACACACCATTCTGTCTTTCTTTCTTGGCACATTGAGGACTACTGCCTCAGTCTTCTCTGCTGTGAGACTCAAGCCGTGGTCATTTGTCCAGTCCTGGATCAGGACACTTGCATGCCATGCCTGAAACAGAAGATTCTCCCTGACCCAGTGTTGCTACCAGCACCGCGAGGTCATATGGCTTGCAATTTAGGGTTTCAGAGAGTAACAGACCCAATCCTAGTGGTGGATATTTTTTTGTAGACATAATTTTTCAAAATATATCAATCAGATGTTAAAGTAATTAAATCGGATATATATGATAATTTTACTCAGACATTGGATCTTATCCTTTGCAAATCTTGGTAAATCAGACAATTTTTAAGCGATTTGATAGATATTAACACAAGTCAGTTTTACCAGTCGCTGGAGGCAGAGCTGTGGAAGGATGTATATTCTGCTAATTCCATGGACATATAAACACAGATGGACTCAGTTATTTACATAAAATTGTGTAGTCAAAATTATTTGAATAGATCACATTCTCAGCACCTTCAACTGTTTTCACGTTTTATTTTAAAATTTCTTATTGGCGAGTCGCTGAAAATATTACACCGTATTTTATACTCTACAGGTGCTATCAAACCAAAATAATAATTTATTTGTTAGATTAATATATTTAATTGTAATCAAAATATCAAGTGTGCACATAGTGTGCATTATCATTTAATAATTTAAATAAATTTAATAATAGCGTATAATAGATATCAATCAATTATTTTATATGTAGAAGCACTGAAAACTTTTTATAAATGGCAACGGTTGTTTACATTTCTCTGTCTTATGGATCTACGTCAAACTTCAAATGCTGTTCCATGTTTGTTTACTTTTTACAGTAGATGAGGAAAAGTTATTTTTCGATATTTTGGCTGTATTTTGAGTGATATTTGTGAAAAGTGAAATAAAATAAACGAAATATTTGATCTCTCATTTCATTTGTAAGTACATACAATTTACATTATTTAAGATGAGGAAATGAGGAAGCGTGTTTGTTTACATTTTAATAGGCGTACCATTGGGTTTATTCATGTTCATTAATGTATTGAATAAGATATGAGTTCATGAAATTAGTAGACATTTTTAAATTGTAAGTAGACATCATCTGATTAAAAAAGATCTGTTTAGTACATTTTTAATTTAATATTTCTCATGGATACAAATAAATTAGTGAAATGAATAAAACTCATTTATTTTTCTATGTAGGTTTCCAAATAATATTGACGATCGAACTATTTGGGTAGCAAATTTAGGAGAAAACATAAAGATTTTTTATTGTAGCATTATTTTGATACCTATTAAAAAATTAATTTGAATTCAACTATATTTAATTGTATTAATTTTAAAGCAAATAAAATTGTATTTTAATTTTTCTATAAAGACGTGATTTGTTAATAGTTAAACTCTCGTTTTTTTTTTTAATTCTTTGAACGTGTTTTTATACATTATTACTACTTCCAATTTTTAGAATCTGAATAATTACCTGCGAGTAATAATTCAAGCACGCTTATCTTATTGCTGTGTCCATCTATGTTTATATCGACCGATATGTTTTTCCGTTAATATTTACAAAAGCTAATTTATGGGTAAATGATGATATAAAAGATAATGCTTGAGAGGTTAGGTCTTGGTATAGATATTATCGTATCGTTAGATATTATCTATATAGAGATTTTCGTAGAATAAAACTTTTGAGATCAAATTAAGTATATCAATTTTTAGTATGTGATACATAATCTTCTGGTGTAAGAATATGATGAGAGACATTGAATTTTTTTTTGCAAAAACGAAAGACTTTAATCATGAAAGACCATTTAAGACGGAATACAGACAAATGTTTCTCATGGCACAAGAAATTGAAAATTGGTCATGTCTAGTTTTTTCATAAAAATATCTACCAGTAGGGGACCATCTTCTCTTCTTCTTACGGTTCCTATCCGTTCCGTTCGGATGTTGGCGATCAGCAAGGCTATCCTTACTTTGCTTCAGCTATTCGGAATAACCCAGTTATAGATGTATTGAACTACATTCTCAGGTTTTAAAGCCAAGATATTCTTCTTTTCCCTGGCCCTCCCTTTACAAATATCTTGCCCTAAAGAATTAGTTGCATCAAGCCATATCTCCATTCATTTCTCATAACATGGCTAAGCTATTCTAATTTGCGTTCTTTGATTGTGTTAATAATGTCACATTCCTTGACCATTCTACATAAAACCTTAACATTAGTCACACGATCCATCCTTGAAATTCTTAATACGTTTGTAACACCACATTTTGAAGGCCTCGAGCTATCTTTAAAAAGTTTCAGAGAGTGTCCAGGCCTCTACTCCATACAATGACGTAGAAAATCATAGCATCTGATGATAAAGATTTTGGTACCAAGTGGTAAATCGTGACTTCTGAAAAAAGACTTCATCTTTACGAATGCTGAACTTGCTTTTCCTATGCGCTGTTTTATTTCAGCAGAGTGACCCCAGTGGATGTTTATGTTAATACCATGGTATGTATAGCTGTTTACCCAATCAGTTGGTTGTTGGTTAATCAAAACCTTACTGACTACCTTGTACTTTGTTTTTTTTTTCGTATTGAGATTAAATCCATGTCATTCTCTCTTTATATCTGATATGCGCGACATTATTCTTTGCAAACCATCTAAGCTATCTGCAAAAGCTACTGCGTCGTCGCCTCCTCTAATGTTGTTTATTCCTATTTGCTTGCTCGAAGACATATTCAGAATACATGTTAAATTACACCCGGGACAGAATGCACCCATGTCTCAGTCCTCTATTTATGGAGATTGCCTCTGTCAAAGCAGACCATAGACAGATATAAATAGACTCTGCGTTTCATCAGGCAAAGTGAAGGGACCATCTTTCTTAAGCTTTTTTCCTCTGTCTCGTCTTTTTTTATGAAGATGGGAAAATTGGAGTGGTTATACCATAGACTTTTATATGTATATGGGTTTCCTCACACTCTACTATTCCCACTTGACATTATGACGAGAGAGAGAGAGAGAGAGAGAATGTAAAATAAAATAACGAGTTAGAGAGAGATAGAGGAAATTAGTTGAGAGATCTTGTTGACATTGAAAATTGTCGAGTTGCTCAGTCTGTTTTCGTCTATATTTATTACGAAGAGAATTTCTCGTAATAAGACCTGAAGTATTTTTGTAAATAAAATGTATCAAATTATATTACAGTTTATTAAATTCTTCCGCGATACTGATAAAAAATTCTTTTCTAAACAGATAGTAATGGCTAGTCGGAAGAAGACTTTGTTGAAGGTCATCATCCTGGGCGATTCCAGTGTGGGAAAGACTTCCTTGATGAACCAGTACGTAAATAGAAAATTCTCAAACCAGTACAAAGCGACCATAGGTGCCGATTTTCTTACGAAAGAACTCACAGTGGATGATCGAACTGTTACAATGCAAATATGGGATACTGCTGGTCAGGAAAGGTTTCAGTCCTTAGGTGTAGCCTTTTACAGAGGGGCAGACTGCTGTGTGTTAGGTGAGTGTCTGTCTTCAATTATATTTATTTTTAATGCTCATTTTACAATTTATTACTTTAAAAGGATTAATATATTTTTTTGGAACTACATATGTATAGTCGAGGTAAAATATATCGCAGAACGATTTAAATGCGTATGCGGAGCGTTTTATTTGGGAATCAGTTAATTTACTATTGAAACAAATGAAAGAAACTTTCTTTTTCATTGAGTTAACAAACAATAAACAAATAGCTTTTTGCCATTACAGAATCAAAAGCTCACGGCGGGCTGGTAAGTAAGTGTTGACATTATGCATTACATTGTTATCGAGCAGTTATTGAAATTTTAAAATAGCAACTATTTAGCACGCGTAATATCAACAAGTACTAGCCCGCTGTGTGCTGGTGATTCTGCAAGGGCGAAATGCTCTTACACACTGGCTTTTTCCTCGTTTGCAAATAGGTGACTTGTAACAAATGTAGCACGATCCAACAACAAGTTTCCTGCCACTGTTATTTCGTGGTTGATTATCAGCAGTTAAACTGCAATCGGCTTATCGTAATAAGTTTCAATCGCTAGTTTTGCCGAATTTTGTCGCATGATCTGCTGATTTGAAGCTCGCTCTTCAATTAATGGCATAGCAAATTCTTCAGCAAGCTAGCGCAAAAAAGTCTTCTTTTCATTCGTCCTCTTTGGTATTATTTTATTATTTTCGTAATAAATATAAAGACAGCAAGAGATGTTGAGGATGCTGTAAAAAATAGCAAGAGCAAGCTATGCACGCTAACCGTTGCATAGTGTATCTCGCGCACATTTGATCCATTGTATCAACACCAGCTTTGTATCTATTATAAAACAAAATCATTTCTGGTTTATTATGTACTGCATCAAATATCTCATAGTACATCGTGCTGAGTAAAATCACAGGTTGATATTTCTTCAGTGCATATCGTAACTTTTTCATGAAGTCAAAAATAGTTAAAAAGGGTACTCTGGTTTTCGAAGCTTTCATTTCTTGAGGAATATATGGCTTGTCTTTTTTAAAAGCGGAACCAGTACAAAGCAGAATCAGACAGGGTGACCCGTTAAGCCCACTTCTCTTTAATATAATGATGGACGAAATAATACCAGCAGTACATAAAGGTCATGACTACAGAATGGGGAACAAAGAAATCCAAATATTATGTTATGCAGACGACGCCTCATTAATCGCCGAGACAGAAGACGAGCTCCAAAGATTAATATACATCTTCAAAACAACAGCTAAGAAATACAATATGATAATATCAGCAGAAAAAACCAAATGTATGACAACATCTAAATACCCACTACGATGTAAAATCGAAATTGATGGGAAAATAATAAAGCAGGAAGCAAGGTTTAGATATCTGGGAATAGATATAACCAGTTACAGATATGTTGAAGAAGAAGTACGATAACAAAGCTTAAAAGCAATTAAAGCGGCGAGATCTCTTAATTACACGTCTTTAAGAAGAAACATCTAAGACAAGATATAAAAACAAGAATCTATAAAGCAGCAATTAGACCTATATTAACATACAGGGACATGTTATGAGGGGAGATAAATACCAGTTGCTGCAATTGATTATACAGGGAAAGATAATGGGAAAGAGATCTATAGGAAGAAGAAGGCATTCATGGTTGAAAAACTTGAGAGAAAGGTACAATTGCACCAATTACCAACTGTTTAGATCTGCAGCATCAAAAATACGCATAGCTTTGATGATAGCCAAACTTCGAAACGAAGACGGCACTTGAAGAAGAAGAACATACAGGACGGAGACAAGACCTGACACATCTAAAACGAGACGAGTACTAGAAACATTAGGATGAAAATATTCCGACGAGTATCATAGAAAAGTCTGTTGGATTGGAAGAGAAGCCGAAAACATAAGAACAGCATGCAATATAGAGGTCATAAATGGATGGGTGACACAACGGAAACAGGAGTGGAACAAACACTAGAATGTCAGAGGATAGGATAGTACGAATAGCACGAGATAAGTCACCAAATGGACGAAGAACTATTGGCAGACCAAGAAAAATATGGTGCCATAATTTAAACAATTTGGGAGGCTGTTCATTGAAGAAGAAACAGGCTTTAAAGCCTACATACAAGAAGGAAGAAGAAGTTTTCTTAAAGTGCCAACGATATTGAGGTTTCACGAAAGAAGAGCTTTTGCTAAAGGCAAAGTTGTGAAACATCTATCCATACTATGTTTTGACTAGATCTTTTTGACAACTCTTTCTCCGTGATTGACATCTCAAGTATGACCTATCTTGCCTGTGTACATAATTACTTTGAGTGAAAAATCATTTCTGCATCACATATCTACCACACTTTGATACCATATTATTAGCATAATTAAGGCGTATGATACTGAGTGAATTTCGTTTTCCCTCGGAAAGGAAAGACCTGTTTATCGATACTTAAATTTTCTGTTGGCTTGTAAATAACAGCCAAGTTTGCATTTGTAAATAAACGTATACATCGGCCAAAAAACTGTCATGTAACTTCAAATTAGCAACATTTTCTTCAAGAATCTTATCCCAAAAATTTAGCTCTCGAGATCTCCCCTCATCTTTTATATTCCGTACAAAATGAGTAGACTGAAACCATTGATCTTTATTTTATAAACAAAAATAATAAAAAGTGCATAGGTGTTTGTAAATACCGTTGAAATATAAAAAATACTGACATACATATGATACCGACATACAGATACATGAAAATATTTAAACTATATAACTTACTGTGCGTAGCGGTACTTACTAGCTTACTACACTATACCACTAGGATGGTCAATACGAACTAACCTAAACTACTCGTGTATGTTCGTGTATGTTCGTTTCAACGCAAACCGTTGCGAGAAAGTATAGGAGACAAATAATGAGGAAATAAAGAGCCTGGAAGCAGGGGAAAATGTAGAGGAATTGTGGACAAAATGTAGAAATATAATAATTGAGAAAGCATCGGAATTATTGGGGAAAACCAAACCGGTTAGACAAAACGAATGGTTTGACAAGGAGTGCCAAGAAGCAACAGATAACAAAAGTAGACAAAGACAAATAAAGCTAGATGCACAAGAAGAGCAAAGGAGGAATACCGGATTCTAAGAAGAGAAGAAAAAAGAATACATAGAAATACAAAGAAGGAAGGAACATAGAATGGCTAAGGATGAAGAAAAAAATATCCAAAGTGATAAGGCCTCAATCTTGAACCGATGGGTTGAATTTTTCGACCCAAAATTCATCGGCCATTATATCGAAGAAGAAGCAGATAACACCGTCGCAGATCGAAATGATTTATGAAATTGCCCAAGCCATTAAAAAGCTTAAAAATAATAAAGCACCAGGAACTTTTACATAAACTTTTACTTCCTGTCAGGCACAATGAGACCATGCCCTGTGAATGTTTTCAAGGCGTGATATACCCTTTATATAAAAAAGCCGATCAGCTCTAGTGTGGCAATGACAACTAGAGATAACCCTGTTAACAACTGCTTACAAATATTCTTTACGATAGACTACAAGTTTACACAGTTGGCGTAGTTGGAAAACCTCAGGCCGGATTTACTACAGAAAAATCAACAATCGACCAGATTCATTCAATAAAACAGATCCTCGAGAAAACATTAGAATTTAACATTGAAACATATCACCTATTCGTCGACTTTAAGGCCGCATACGAGAGTGTCAAGAGAACAGCACTATACCAATCAGTCACAACCAATCAATGCGTGAGTTTGGTATACCAGAAAAACGTATCCGATTAACGAGGATGACAATAAATTTATTTAAAAATCCTTTATAAAAGGTATATAATTAAAAACTATTCGGACTACATCACAGAACGTTTTCATCCGTGTTTTCATCCATTCCATCATCAGTGTTATCCTAAAAGTGTATAACCACTTTAATGAAAGAAAACATGAAATTTAAAATTTTGACCAAGGTTAAAACAAAATGTAGTTAATACTTAGTAGATGTACATGTTTTGAGCCACTAAATACTTGGGTAAAAACCCATTCAATGTTAAATTAAATTTACACAGAAGGATGAAAGACTTCTGGGAATATTCATCAATAACACCTATAGGGAGAAGAAGCAGAAGTCGACCGCGAATTAGGTGGCTAGATGGAGTTAAGACCGACTTAGGGATACTAGAGATCATAAAAGAAACCAAACAGAATGGCGACTAATCTTAGAGCAGGCCAGGATCCACAGAGAATTGTCGAGTCAAAGATGAAGATGTTGATGGTGTTTCTTTCAAAGATTCCTCAGGTATAAAAAGTATAGAGACAGATCCTTCTTTGTACTATATCTAATTTACAAAAAAAAATTACCGAACAGAGAACAGGCTACCGGCGTTTTATACTTGGCTTGTGATTATAAAGGCCATTCTATAGAATTCTATAATTTTATTTACCTCAGAATATCTTTATTAACCAAAAATAAATCAGCATACATCTGATGCATAAGACAATTTTACGTTACAGCGGAATTTTACATAAAAATTAGTATAGGGGTAACCCGGTTGGCCAATAATGTCAATTTATTTGGTTGGTCACACAAGGTTTAACACGTTAATCGCCCAAATGAAGCGAAAAATATCCCACCCCCAGGCCCAACTTAGTTTTTCTAGTAAATCATTAGGTTTTTACCTCGGATATGATGTACTGGCTATTATAAAGCGCTACATTAAAAAAGTTGTCTAAAAATGTATTTTGAAAATGACACCCTACTTATGGGTTTCAGATCCTCTGATGGCCGAGCGCCGCGAAACCCGAGTATAGGTTGTCATTTTTTTCGAGTTCTAACAAGTCTGTGTGTGCTAAAATTCCAGTTGTTTTGTTTAGTCTACAATCCATTCGTTGAAATTACGGCGTGTAATAAGGTTGGTTGTGAATTATATAAAAGTGTATTGTGATTTGAATCGTAATAAAATGGGAGAAAATTACGAAAAGGGTCAAGAGAGACTTTTGAAATTGTGGAATGAGTTATTATCAGACGAAGAACAAGAGACTTTAGACTTTAGAGATAATTCTTCAGATGATTACTTGCCCAGTAATTCTTCATCAGATATTGACTCTGATGAAAGTGCATTGAATTTAGAAGCAAGGAAGAAAAAATTAAAAAGGTAATTATTATGTGAAACTTATCACCAAAAAACATGATTAACTTATTTTCCTTTTTGTTGTGTTGTTTACGGCTTAAAAAAATATTTGTACGTAGTTCAGTTCTAGTTAACCATTTTTAAATCTAAATAAAACGTTTCAATGTTTCTACAACTATAGTTCAAACTTCAGGATTTTTTCAACTAAAATATAATCACTTTTAGGTTCCCTATAAAAGCAAAGATTTCTATTGATGAGCTTCCGCCCAACACCTCAATACCTTCAGTTTCCACCATTAACTGCGAAACAGCTATAAATGCAAGGTCTGATGTATTACAGTATATATCTTCAAGTAGTGATTCTGATGATTTTTTAGAAGAAACAAATCCGAGAAAAAAAACTAAAAGGTAAATATAACTTTATTTTGGAAGCAAGTAAATATGCTCATTTTTTAAAACGTTTCTATATACTTGGATTGGTCTTTGTAACTATGTCACTATATCTGCAAATTTTGTAATCCATTTTAAAAATAGTTCTATGCTACCTAGGCACCTGAAATTTTCATGACACCAGAAAATATGCCTCTAAAATGTCGATTACAAAATTCTTTTATGACATAGAAATTGAAACAACAAAATAGTTTATAATTTTATATTGGGTCCTATAAATTATGAAAATGTTTTATTATAAAAAGTTCTTTTTTATACAAATGTAATTATGTTGTCCTTTCTCCAGCCGATCAGTCAGTTATAGTTGTTTTCTTTTTAGATCATGTAATCCAAACAATGTTGAAATGACTACGCCTATCCTAGAAATAAGTCATCCTGATGCGCAGCCTTCTACTTCTAGAGGGCCAAAGGTCCCGATAATTCTAAAAGAGCAACGTCAGTCCTCTGTTGATAAAGTCATCGATGAAGTTATAGCTCATTTTTGTCCCATGCAAATTGAAAATGAAAATGAAGAAGAGCTTTTACAAGATGAACTACACTGGTTTCCTCCGAATGGTTCCCATTTAAAAAATTTTAATTTTGATGTAGATCAAGTCGGTACTACAGCACAGATAGCTGAGAGTTTTCTTACAAAGGCACCATATGATTTTTTCAAGATATATCTCAGTGATGAACTTCTGGATTTAATTGTAGTGGAGACCAATAGATATGCTCAACAAACCAAAAACAAACCTATGGCAGTTTTCTCGCGATTACACAGATGGAAAGATACTAACAGGGACGAAATTACTACATTCTTTGGAATTGTAATGTATATGGGTCTAGCAAGGTTTTCAAAAATGACGGATTACTGGTCTAAGAATCCATTATATAGCAATCAGGTATCGTGTAAAATGTCAAGAAACCGATTCGAATTAATTCTCAGAATGCTACATTTCAACGATAATGAAACAGTTGATAAAAATAACCGTTTGGGAAAACTAAGCCCTTTATTAGAAAACTTGACAAATAAATTCAAAGAGGTCTATATTCCGGAAAAATCTGTGTGCATAGATGAAACACTGGTACCCTTCAGAGGGAGATTGTCATTCAGACAATATATAAAAAATAAGAGGTTCAAATTCGGAATAAAACTGTATAAACTCTGTTGTAAAGACGGCTATACCTACGATATCAAAGTATACTGTGGACA